CAGCTGACTGTGTGTCATGCAATGGGCAGAAAAGAACAGATTGCAGGCTGTGATAAAAAGCATGTGACAATCACTAGTCTAAGAACTATGTACAGATGACAGCAATACAGGCATTGATTATATACAGATTAGGAATCTCCACACTACGCGTAATGTTGAACTAAGTATGAAGGTTACGCTGGATGACATGGACAAATATAACCAAAGACAGAACAAAATGGTTTGTTGCTTCTGGAGTCAGTGACAGTGTAGTCTAATTAGATACACTTTGTATGAATTAAAGTGCCAGGTGTCAACAATAGTTATTCCAGACTGAAAAAACAATGTGGCAACTGTTGTCGTGTATGTCATTCTCAAAGACAGCACATACAAGAAACGGTCATGTTATTTTATCCATTGGCTGTATAATATCATTGAGTCATATACTGTACAATACTTTATTTTTGTTTGGAATTAATTTTCGCTATTTTCTCTGAAAGAGTCATTCAGTAAAAATAAAATTCAATTGTTATACCTTTTTTCCTATATTTTACCTTCAACTTGTCAGAAATCAGTGAAAATATATTCCGTACAAAACATTCAAAGTCTTTTCAGCGAAAATTAATTCCATCTAAAATAAAGTATCTTACAGTAGTTTGATCATCTATTGCAGTCATCACATTCTGTACACACTAAGTTTAAATATCCACGCACTATCTATTCTATCTACAAGCGTTACAAGCGGTATGCACACAGTAAACACACTACAGGTAGGTAGACCAAAATACGTGCTGGAGGGGAAGGGAGGTTTGGTGCAGGTATGCTTTACATCTGATAGTACAATAGGTTTGTGGAGTTCACTATTGTTGTATTTCTAAAAAAACTACCCTTCCAACCCCTGCAGATAAAATGGTTCCTCTCTAAACACACAGCTTTTTTTTTTTTTTTACTACAAAGGGTATGCCGTGGCTTTGTCATGTTGTGCTGTATGATATGGTGTACAGAAATGACAACAATGACAAGCAGTCTTGCAATAATAAAATTATTTCCAACATAAGCAGCACAATATGACATATACACTGATATGAACAGAAAAATGAAGGTGGAACTTAGTTTTATATATATTTAAAATAAAAAAGTTGGACAGAAGTTTTTTTAAAATCAGTGATTAAATATTAAAAATAATATTTTCATAAAATTGGAAATAAGAATAAATAATGACAATATTGACACACTTTGAGCAAAATTAAAAAAAATCCAAATTAACAAAAAGGACTATCACAATTGTGTAAATAAATAAATAAATATAAAAATGGAATGTTCCATTTGTGTAAGGTAAAACAGGTTTAATCAGAGGGAATACTTTCCTCGGAAATAGCAAATCCTTGATCTGACAAGTCCTCGCTACCAAGTGATATTTCAAGCTCAGCAGCACCCTGCTTGTCTCCTTTGTTTTTCAGTTTATATCGAATTGTGTTCATAGCAGCATGGATACGGAAATGTAGACGAGCTTGCAGCTGACGAGTCTTCTTGTAATTCCTGTAAGCAATTTCATGAGTTACTATTAATCAACACTTTCAACACTAGATTCCAGGTAACACTGATAAATATAGGTGCCAGTTAATGTGTGCTAAATAACATTGGATTTTATTAACACTGAGTAGCATTGGATCCAGTTACCACTGATTAAAATTAAGTCCATTCAAAACTGGCCTTCACTGGTTTCAGCTAACACTGGTCAACATTGAACCCATGTGCAATGGTCTAGTTAACAGTGCGTAAAAATCAGTGAAAATAAAATCCATCGAATATACTATTTTCTCTATATTTTACATTTACATTTTTTTTGATCAACATTGAATCCAGTCAATAGTGAATTGAGCTAACATTAATCAACATTAGATCCAGTCAATAGCGCATGGATAGAGCTAACACTGATTAGTACTGAAATCAGTTAACATTGATCAACATTAGATCCAGTTAAAACTGATCAACATTATATCATATTCAGCTAACTTTGATCAACATTGAATCCAGCCAATAGTGGATAGAGTTAACACTGATCAACATTGGATCCAGGTGAAACTGATAAACATTAGATCAAGCTAACACTGATGAACATTAAATCCAGCTAACTTTAATAAACATTGGATCCAGCAAACACTAGTCAACATTTGATCCCATTAAAAACTGAAATGAGACACAATCTATTACGCAGAATATACAGCTCCCATTAAATGGATACTTGAAATGAAACAAAGGACATTTTGAAGGATAAAAGTCAACTCGGAAAAACAGTTTAATTTTAAGAATAACTGTAACATAACATTTTGAAATAACTTATTTTATTAAGTTACTAATGTAAGTTAAAAAATGTTTAATAATCAGAATACATACTTTGCTTGTAACAAGAGCTCCTTAGCTTCATCTAATTTGTCATGGTCCATTAACATAACTCCCAACTCAGTCATAGCAAAGGGTACTAAATATAACTCACTCTGGATCTGTTTCTCACTGTAAAAACAATATACGTATAGTGTATTATTTGTGTATATATTTATCAATAAATAGTTATTCCATGAAACTTGTAGCATGTAAATCAACATGCATGGAACATTCCAGTAAGGGTTGCGCTTTG